CTTAGTATTTGTGAGTTGTTTGGTGGAGTTTTTTTGGAAAGTTAAGGTGATCAATAGCTCTCTCTCTCTTGTTTCTAAGGTAAGTCATGATGAACCCCTTTCCTCCCTCTAATGATGTTTAATTTATGTTTAGTAGTGGCATAAGAGGCAATTTTATGGATTAATTCTTAATTTGTGGTTGAAATGATGAAGTTTTGTTATTTTTGGGGTTTTTTCTGTTTTAATATAAGCATGATTGTGTGGCTATCTAGGATGATTAGAAATGGTATATAATGACTTAAGGAGGTGGGAAAAGTGAACAATTGCAACCAATTTCTGGTTTGGGAAAAATTTCAGCAAGTTAGGGTTTTTGGGTTGCATAATCTGTCCGAATTTTTAGCACCTAGTTAGAGGACGAATTGGCCTTGGCTCAAAACATGAAAGTTGTAGGTATTGATGTGTTTGAGGTTCCTGTAAAATTTCAGGTCATTTGGATTAATGTAGAATGAGATATGTCGATTTTACTGATGCTGTTCTGGGTTGATCAGAATGCGAAAACTGCACTTGTAATTGGCCATTTTTACTGGAATTGCTTTGGTTTTAGATGTTGGTGTCTTCTGATGAAATGTAGCTGAATGTCTTAGCTACCATATGCCTTTGGAATCAATGCATTTGGACCTGTATAGACCGAGTTATACTGATTACAGTTTTGTGTGATTTGTAAACCTGCAATTACGGTTCAGGTTGTGGTATTCTGCATTTTTGACCTAGTTGTGCTAGGATTTGGACTGAGTGGCCTTCTACATTGTTGTAGCCCTGTCTTTTAGATTCGAGACGGTGGGTCTTACACCCTCATCCGATAATCGTAGTGCAATTTGTGCCATTACCGCATAATGAAGGCAAAACTGTTTTTGTTGTTATGGCCAAGATGGCTACATTTCCTGATTTTCTGGTTTGCTACAATGCTTATATATGCATATGAAACCTTATTGGGGTTGTGGTTGGCATGGCTTTATGACTCGTTGTCGAGTCTCTTTTAGGGCTTGCTTTCATTTCGGTTGTTTCCTAGCTAACTTATGTACTTGTACTACTTTGAGCCTAGTGAACGGCTTTTAGGAAATGAGATGACTTTTGTGTGAAATGTTGGGGCTGATTTGAGGAAATAATGAAGCCTTGATGGCTGGAAAAGTAAGAATTTTAGGGGAGGTGCTGCCCGATTTTCTAGGCCGTTTGGTTCCTTTAAGTTGGATTTGCCTTTTGGTGGAAATGAAAGGCTTTTGGGTTGTTTGCGCCTAGGTCTTCATGCTACCTTTTCGTTTCCAAGGGAATCATGTTTTTGCCTTCTTGCATTAGTATTTATTTGGCAAGGCGTACGACGTGTAGTCGAGCCTCACATGTGCATTCTGTTTACTCGATTCTGGAAGTAAAACCTTCAATTGGTTTATTTTGATTATTTTAGGGTTTCTTGGCGATTAAGGCCAATCTGAAGTGAAAACTTTTGAAGTTGAGCCGGTGAGTGTTCCACTACCTGCTACCCATTATGTGAAATATCTGAATATCTGAATACTTGATTTATGACTATTGAAGCCAAATACTGTTTTGATAAAATGGAGGCGAGGGTGTACTTTATCACACTCGTTCTTCTATCTGTTCATATGCCAATTTTGAGTGCCTATCTAAATCTGCCGTCTGAATCTGCTATCTGAATCTGCTATCCTGTATCTGTATCTGAATCTGTTATCTGTGTCTGCATCTGTTCGGATTTCTATGACCTATGAGCTCAATCCTGTGGCTAAGTTATTCGACTCGCGCCGGCAAGGGCCTGGACGATTAGATAACGAACCACGGTAGTCTGTTCGGGGATTTTGGGTATTGAGACCCTTGATTCCGGGTATACTCGAGTATTACCATTTCTGTTCGGTTACGGTGAGCGGGCCCGGTAAAGGGGTGTTTGGTGGACGGAATTCGGTGTAAAGAGGGGTCTACGGACGCGTTGGTTCTATATGCGTTGACGGAGAGTCAACCGGTTTGAATCAAGTACTGCGCTGGAAATTTGGCTCCTGAGAGCCACCCGTATCCTTCTGATTTGAATCATTAGTTCTTTTGCTTTACATCTGACATGTGTATCTGATTTGTAAAATGTGAAATGCCATGATTTTTCTGCTATATGTTTGGTACCTCATTGAGCGCAAGCTCACCCCTTTCTGTTCCTTTTGTTTTTCTTACAGGAAAATAAACCCTTTTGGTCTGGATTTGACAAATGGCTGCCAAATTGAGCTAGTCGAACATATCTTTTGTATAGCTCATGTATTAAAACCCTAAGTGTACTTTTGGGGCGTTTTCTCTTTTGATTTGGCAAACCATGTGTATATATTAACTTTTGAAAACTTTTGTATGTCATTTCGATTTGTAAACGCTAAAGTTCCGATGTGAGTGTTTGCTATTTTGATTTGTTTACGCGCGTTTGTAAGTTCCGGAATGAAGCAGATAGCTCTAATCTGATCCGTAGTCCTGGCGAGAGTTGGGCAGGCAGTCCGCTAACCCCTTTGGTTCGCCTTAGGGGAAAGTGGGGCTGTTACAGTCATCAAGGGTCACCTGTTACCACTAGAGAAAATTCTAAAACTATTATGAAAAAAAAAAAGTTTTCTATTTGAGGGGTTGTTTGTGTTGGGGTTTCTAAGAATAGGTAGTTCGCATTTGTCGAATGCGAGTTCACGTGGCCGAACCCAATGACATTTTAAATGGTCTAGTGGATCAACGTGGCAAAGAGTACGGCAGGACAGGAGGACCCACAATGCGCTTGCATTCGGCAAATGTGAACTACCTATTCTTAGAAACCCCAACACAAACAACCCCTCAAATACTGAGCTTGCATTCAGCAAATGTGATTTATTATTGAATTTCTGATTTTGCAAAAATCTAAAAAAAAGATTTTGCTTCAGACCTCGCATTTGACAAATGCGAGGTCAGGCATCCAAACCTCCATCTTTGGACTTCTGAATCAGGTCCGGCCACATTTGTGTTTCCATGTTTCCAATAAATTTCCACACACTTAACATGAATAATTTGCAAAAAGTGTATAAATGCATGTAAAAATTAGTACTAATATGTCTAAAACTGAAGTCTAGGGGAGGAGAGCTGTACGGCCTTGCGAAGTGCTGCGAGGATAATGGATGGCATCGGAGATCAGAACTTTCCGTTTGCCATCGATCACTAAAGCACAGTGATCCAACGTAACATTGGCAGTGAACGACGCCAAAGCGGTGGAAAGAAAAACAATTATGAACAGGAACAACACCATTGTTGTTGTTCCTCTCATTTTCTGCAAATTTAGCTCCTTCATTCTGCTATTTTTTTTTTGTTTTAAAACAAAATGCTAGTTGTTCGACTTGGAGGATATTCAAATGGTAAGTAATTAATACTAATAAATTGGAATTTTAATGGCGGGTATAAATTTCAGTAGCAGAAGTAGACGGCTTTAAGAAGGGAATCGAGAGGAAACAGAGGAGTGAAGACAGGCAGCTATGGTGAGTGGGGAAGGTTGCTTGACCTCGCATTTGTCTGAAGCAAAATTTTTTTTTTTTAGATTTTTGCAAAAATCAGAAATTTAATAATAAATCGCATTTGCTGAATGCGAGCTTAGTGGGCCACATTTGGCAAATATGTACATCACTTAGACAGAATGCTACATTCAAAAAGCCCCATTTGTAGAAAAATTTTAAATTTCATCATAAATTTAGAAATTTCTCGATACCACTATCGATCCTCTTTAAAGTTAGGGGAAAAAAAAAAGTCCCCTGATTGACATCTAGTCTGCATAAAAGTGGTAAATTCAGTGTAAGACTGTAAGGAACTCCAGTTGTTCTTTAAAGCTACCTTAAAATCGACTTTCTGTGAGTGAATTCAAATTAGTGGCTGTTGATATAGAGTAAGACCTACCTCTGCTGCTAAGCAAGAATTATTTGCTTCATTTCTCAACCAGACGTATGATCGAAGAGCAGTTAACTTCATTATGCATCAATGACAGCAATTAAAATGATCTGCTTTCTTGCTTATTCAAAACGACGAAGTCCTTGTCCCTATCCAGGATTTATTTGGACTGGTTACTTGGACCCAATGATGTATATAATGCATGGTCTGAGCTCTCTAAAGACTTATATAATGGTTTATATTTAGTGCAAAAAAAAAAACATTTGCACAGACAGAAGAAAAAGAAACACAGAATGCATGTACAGATATCATGCGGTAAGAGATCAGTTGTGAACAACAGAAATTCGACAAATGCCTCACAAGTCACAATGCACAATTTATAACTGAACAGAATGGTAAGTTTGCCACAAACCAAAGTAGCAAAGTCAAAAGCAAGACAATATCGCATGTTAAATTGTCCAATATGTGTTAAGAGCAATCAACTGCTACAGTTCCAATTTGAAAAGTCAGCCATAATTTAAATGAATATCTTGTTGAAAAAACACTAACTAAACAGTAAAGTATCCACTAAACCTTACAGTTAAAAATCTTCTGCAAAAAATACTCAAATTAGAAGGAGGAATAAGGAATCTCATGTTCAGTCATCTTCAAGCAATTTGGCATTGAAGAGTTTCTTCTTTATTTCCTTTCTTCTCTGTTTCCTTTTCCCCGTACTCTGACCAAGTTTCTTCAGCAGAATTTGGACATTGCTGGCGTGGGTGTGATCCATACTGGTGGTGGCATTATTTTGTCCATAAGATTCGGCACATATGGCTTTCGATGCTTTCATCCTTCAAGTTAAAGATCGCCATGTCTCGAGGCCCGTTGCGGTAAAAATTTTCAATATAGCCATCGGTGAAGTATATCGAGTTTGGCCGACATCCTGGGAATTCAGAAGCTAAAACGGACATGGAATGATTGTCACCCAAGAACAAGGCATCACCACCTAATTTCTTCACCCTTTTCAGCCTTGAATATATTCCTTTCCCTTTAACCTTATAAACTTTGAACTTTGAAGTCAAGCCTAACATTTCACCATCTAACGACCGAAATCATCTTAAAATCAACAATTTCCCACCCGAAGATTCAACCAAGTTTGTTTTAACTTCAAGCAAATCTGCTCTTACTCTGTCGTCTAAAACCCCTGGTCCAAAGCTTTTTGCCCGTTGTTTCCTCGGTAGAAGCCTTGCCTGAGTATCATTGCTAATTCTGTTATGATAGTTCACGCAACGGATAATTCCCTTATGATATATAACATCTGAGACAACAAATTCTTTTGAGCCAACGAAATCTTCTATTGTGATTTTCCAATAATCAAGTTCAATAAAACTCCAAGACTTCTCATAACCAGCTTTGATGAATACTAATTGGTGCATATCACCATATATGACAGCTACCTCATATTCTGGATTTGTAATTGGATTGGCTAACAAAACCACCTTTTCTACAAAATACTCAGCATCGTAATCAGGGGTTGTTTTGGACGAGAAAAGGTAGATCAATTCGTGCACCGGTGAAAGGATTGAAAAGAGTTATGGAAAGATCATCCATGGCAAACGCTAACCATCCATGGGAAGAACCACAACATCTTCTGTGGAGGGGCACTGATAATTCCACGTCGTAATTGGCTTTGCCATGACTTAAGTTGTACAAGGTACGGCTTTTGCGACTACCCTTTATTGTTGGGATCATCAGGAGGGGGAGTTGATTATTTGCAGAAGTTTCAATATGTAACTTTTCCATGTTTGGATCTGCTGCTACGGCGCTCCGATGCTTGCAGGCGGCACTGAAGCGGACGTAATCGATGAGGGAAACCAACTTCTTAAGAATTGAATCCAGGAGGAGGTCTGTGAGGGATCCCCAATTCGATGTTTTCTCCATGGCTAACTGCTTCAGGATTTCGTAAACTGCTCCGGTTGAAGAGAAGAAAGAAAAGAAAAGAAAAGAAAAAGGGAAACTACTAAAGAAAAAGACACTGCTTTATGTGATGAAACCGTGTTATATGGAGTAGTTCTTATTTTTTGGCTTATGTGGAAAAGGAAACCAAATCCCTACTTGTTTCTAGTTTCCTCACGCTTTTTAGGATTAAAATTGAAATTTTGACCCTTTTAGAAAAATGCTCTAATATTCGGGATGTGGAAAAGGAAACCAAATCCCTACTTGTTTCTAGTTTCCTCACGCTTTTTAGGATTAAAATTGAAATTTTGACCCTTTTAGAAAAATGCTCTAATATTCGGGAGTCAAACCTTCCTCATCAGTGCCATGTCTCGTCTCTAGCCCTTGCTTAAAATTAAGCATTAGCTCAAGTTTTCATGGTCTGATCTTATTCCAATATTTCTGGAGAAATTTGGCTGTTTCCAACTTCCCAATTCTTTTTTCTCCGTTGAGACAGAGGAGGTATTGTGATTTTTATCTGGTATTGTCGGTGCTCAATACATGGGGGGAGGGCCGGGGACAAAGTTTGTAGAGTAATTTTCTTTAAAAAAAAAAAATTGCTGGTTACATTAAAAAAATTTTACCATTAAGTGCCATATTTATTGAATTCTCATATAAAATAACAAAACTATTTCGACATAAATACCGATTTTCTTCTTTAATATTTTTCCATCACCTAATTGAAAAGATTCAATTATCACAGAAGTTAAATTCATGCAAATACTGCATAGACTACAATGAATTACATATACTAGAATCTCATTATGGATGGTTAACATATATTGTCTCTATGTTAGATAAAAAATAAATCCATAGATAAAATTATAAAATGGTATTCAACTGAGAACAAAAGTAGTAATAATATCCAAAAAAATTAAACAAATATAAATACACATATTGAGTTGTTTAACTAACCTGTATGACTTGTGGGAAAAAAAATCCCAGGATAAAATACTTGTTGATTTTGTATGACTTCATTGCACATTTCTAAGAATCGTTATATATAGTTTGTTGGAGATGCTTTACGAGATTTGAGTATGGTTATTCTTCTTCTGGAGGTAGAGATGTGGTATAAGATTTTTTAACAAATCATAACTTTATGTATAGCTTAACACTTTAACTAAAATAAATTTCTTATAAGTTTTAAAATTTTGGGATACGTATCTGCAAGTTTAAAGTCAATTAATTCATTTTTAACTTTTTTTCCCTGTAAATTAGAAAGGAATTGATAGTTCCTTTGTTTCATGTTTCCACTATTTAGTTGTTCCTTAATTGTTTCCTAAAAACTAAAAACGAATTCACGCATCACAGGTACTTATTGTTTAGTTGTTCTATAATTTTTATTTCTCTAGAAATTAGGAATAGATTCAAAAGCTTCATAACATACGCATATGGAAACTTGAGAGATACTTTTATATAGGTGTTTATTGTTTAGTCATTCCATAAATTTCTCTTAGAAATTAGGAATAGATTTATAATAAAAAGATACACACGTATAGAAAGGTGACTCCTACATTGTCTCTCCTCTAGGCTAATAGACGCTAGTGGGCCATTATTCTTTTGTTTTACTTGTTTGCCCCCTCATCCCTTACATTTCAAGAAAGGCAAGTTCTGAAATTTACACAAAATTTTGCACTATATTAAGGACATTTTTTGAAAGTTGAGGGGGGAACCATCTTTTTTTATTTTTTTTTATTTTTTAGTATAAGTGAGAGGTTTCAAATCTAGAATCTCTCACTTACACTTTCTCTCTCGTACCATCCCACCTATGCCTATTTTTTGAGGGGATCAATTGTCCACTCTCAACTCTGGATAGTCCCATCTTTGGCTCAATACTATGCATCATAACCTTTTTTTATTGCATCACAATCTTTTTTTATTGTGTCATATTTTTTGAATAGTTTTTCCGTACTTGTGCTGTGTGGTATTTTTGTGTTTGTTATGCTGGATCATAACTTAATTGAAAAAAAAATAATGTCTTCTTCCACTTATGTCAACAAATTGGACAATTTCAGATTTTTTTCACATTAAAAACTTGTAAATTGTTTTTCTTGATTGTGTTGAGTTCTTCTTTTCTCTTTAAGGGCCTTAATTTCATGCAATTCAAATGTTGAAATTGAAATGAATATGGAAATTGGGGATTTTTTGTACTCATATAGATTTCCGTCTCAAGCTTCATAAGTTCGGTGTGCAATTCATGAATCTAGAAATCGTGTAAAATTTTCAATTAATGTATATAAGTTTGGTCATGAATAAGAACCAGTAAAACTTGTCCCGCATTTATGCTGCTATTGGCTCTATGTAATAGTGATTGAGGAGTTGCTTCGATTTTCTTACTATGTATAATTAAAGCGGGAGGGAGAAATTTGGTGTAAACAAAGTGTGTGAGTTAATGCATTGTTTAATCTACCCTTACTTCTATTGAGACACCAAATTGTGTCATTTTATGCATTGCCTAATCTACCCTTACTTCTACAGAGAGCTACAGCATTTTAACGACTCACCTTCCTATAAGGCTATAACTACTCGATATCTGCTAAATAAATTAACTATCACTTAATAAAAAAGTGCCACTTTTTAAAAATACTACAAATAGTTTAACTATTTTAAATTACTATTTTTCCACAAAAAAAAATAATGTTAATCATTTTAAATATATTTTTATTGATGGCATACGCATTGGGCCGGGGTGTCTTAATCACTAGTTGCAATTATTGATCATTAAAGAGCTATAAACAACACAAATTAATAATCTTTAAAAATTGTTATTCAGTTCCTAAAACAGTAAAATTAATTAACATAAAACAAATTTCGAATATGTATCCCCATAAGAGGGCAGGTGAACCTGAAATCAAAATTTTCTTTGGGCTTTGCAGAATTTAATATCAAATCCTGGATTGGTCAGACTCAAAACATTTTGTAAAGAAGCAGTGTCTTTGTGATGGGAATATTCTTGGGCAACCCTTTGGGGAGGCGGACACAGGGGACAGTAGGGGCCGCCGTCCCCTAAAAGTTTTAAAATTTTTAAAATTCTCTGTATAATTTAAGTTGTCAACTAAAATTATATTACTTTGGCCTCTTTCTAAACATAATAATCAACAGTACTTTTTTAATTGTGTTTAATTTCTTTTGATAAAGTGTCCTACAGCAAACTAATAATTATTTTTCTTATAAAAGTATACCATTAGTATCTACATTATCATACATTTAATATTTGAATAACAATTACAAAAATATTAAGTTTTCTTGTAACTAAATCTCTTATAATAAATAACTTTTAGTTTCTTTGATTAGTATAACTTTAAAATAGCAACTAAAGTAACATTGTATATATTTCATAGGAAGTCAAAGACAAAGAAAACAAAAAAAAAGTTCAAATTGTCATACAAATTGAAGAAGTTTCAACCATGATTTTGAATGCGCTACATTGATAGTAAATTGAATGGCATAAAGTCTAATTTTAACATTTTATATATTTTATATTTATTTTTTAAAAATTTCTTATTTCCAATGATAGTCTATTGAAGTTTCATTTTACATTTAATATGCTTTATATGCTATAGATGTCTTGCTATCATATCATTGATGATTCATCCCAACTAAATTCCTGAGTCCGTCACTGCCCTTTGGATGCTTTACCACCCAATTATACTGGTTTTTGTTAATACAAGTACTTTTGGATTTTAGTTCTTTTTCTTTGTGATATGATATATAGATGCAATTTAGTTTCTCGGTGCTATACATTGTAACTTGTGGCTTAGAGTTTGAAAATTTCTTGATATTTTGTAGATGTCGAGCACCATTCGTGTGACCTTCATTGGTTTTTAATGGAACTTTAGGTAATTTCTATCTAAATTGGCTTAGGTGTAAAATTGCACCTCAACATCGAATCACTACGATGTTGAACTTTGACCCCTTTTTTCTTGGTAGCAAAGTGTCTTTTACTCCCCTTAGACATTGATGGAGGAGGAAAGGACCGGGAGAGGAAGGGACAGGCGACCTCCAGCCATGCACTTAATTAGAAAATACTCTTAAAGTTTTAGATAATAGCAAGTTCTCCCCGTCTTAAGTTTAATGCATGTATCTAGTACTAATAAAAAAAAAAAAAAAAAAGCCCAATTTCCATCACAATCCAAAGTCCAATTGAAATCTAACTGTCTGTTCTATTATTATTATTATTATTTATTAGGTATAATTGTGTTTCTTCCTTTTTTGTAATGACTAATATACCCTTCATGATGAAATCGCGCAAGTTGTCCAAGAAGTTTGAGAAGCACAAGTCAATCTTGTGAACATCCTAGTAGGTCCAATGACATGTGCACGTGCCAAGAAACTCAATGAATCACTTCAAACTATAGGTCGAGCAGGTCAAAACTCGGTTGGGATGCCAAGTACATTTAAAGAGTCTAATGAGAAGGGTTTACCATTAGTAAACCTGCTTTAAGTCATGCGTGAATTGGAGTCATGAAGGCCGAGTTTGGTGCACTTAAATTTCATCTTTGTTAGCATTAATTGTTAATGTCGTTTTAATCATTAGAAAACAATAAATGGACCAGCAATATACAAGCTTGGATCCGCTTCTTATAAGGTTGGGTTTTAAGCCCATGGTTATTAGGCAATTGTTAGCCATTTGCTTTCCAAGTTTGGATAGGATTTTGTTATGTAAAAGACTTATAAAACTCTTGTTTTCTCTCAATAATACATACAAATTATTCCAGCAAATACCTTCGAGTGTGAAGCTCTCTTTGAGTTTTTGCGAGCACCCTTGAATACTTCAAAAATCTCTCCAGTGTTTTTTCCGACTTATCAATCAAGAAACCATCTTTGATTGTAGCACCAACCACCTTCCTAGGATTCACAAATTCATTTGGTTGTGGGTCAAGATCATATCAACATTCACAACTACAGGGATTAGACGGGTCTGTGTAGGAATTTTGCTGCTAAACTTGTGTCAATCACCAAAGATCCAAGCTTCTTGTTCACGAGTTTTGTCACATTGAGGTTCGTACTAGCTGGCATTAGAGCTAGTTGGTGATTTTCTAGGTTATATCTATTTGTTTTGTCCAATTCATTAGTTTCTTCTAATTTTGTGTCAAATCTGTGGTTGTCCTCTATAACGTCACTAGGGTTTTCTTGTCGTCGCATGTTTGGGTTCTTGTTCATGTTAGGGATATAATTTGGAAAATCACCAACTAGCTTTGATGCCAGCTGATATGAACCCTGTCTTCTAACAAAATTCGTGATCGATCTAACTCTGGACCGATGGTGATTGACACAAGTTTGGTAGAGGAAAATCCTATTTGGATCCCTCTAATCCCCATGGTTGTGAATGACTTGGCCCACAACCAAACAAACTTGCGAACCCAAGAACGGTAGAAGGTGACACAATCAAGGGTGATAAACTTAATTGATGAGCCAAACGAACGCGAAGAAAATTCTAGGTGTTTAAGAAAAGCTTGTAAAGCCAAAAGAGTAATCTTTCCAGAAATATTTTTCTGGAAATGGCATATATTCCATTGATGAAGGAAAAATGATGTTTTAATGTGTCTTTACATAATAATGCCTAACATAACTTGGACCAACAAGACACACAAACCGGACCTTTTAACACAGCCCATAAAACCCTACTTAAAAGACGGTTCCAAGCTTTAAGAGCTGGACCGTTTATTAGCTACTAATTCGAGCCCAAATACGATTAACTAAAGACTAAGCTCGGCCATCAAGCCCCTTCTTCAACCTCACCTTTGAATTTCCCTCCTTGACCAAGATTGGCACTCCACTTGAATCTTGGACAATTTGAACTATGGCTTGTAATAACTCGTTAAGTCTCTTGGCTCGAGCTTGCATCATTGGACCCATTGGCACCATCATGGAATCGACTTGAGCACCTTGATTGACTTGGACAGCCTTCGATACTCCATCAAAGAGGGAAAAACAAAGAATAAAAGAAACTAGAAATTCGTGTCAATAAGAAATTAAGATGGTCTGGCAAACTTGTAATTGTGGAAACAATCACTAATGATCACATCGTGGATAGGTTTAAACCCAAGAAGGAGGTTTTGTCAATGTCTTTAGTACAGTGTAATGGAAATTAGGTTTTATTTTTTCGTGCTTGCTTTTGTTTTCAGTTTGTATGAATTGCGGCAAGCTAAACTTCTTTTCATTAATGCTATTATGCTGTTTAATTGGAACCAGGAGGCTGTAGATATTGGGATTGAGTTGACCTTGAGATATGTCAAAGATCCAAAGAAATAATCCCTGGACTATTAAGATCGATAAACAAGATATAAGGTGAGATTGCGAGGTTACAAGAGAACTCAAATGTTGCAGCAAGGGAAAGTTAGGAGGCTTACAACATACTTGATCCACCACTGGGTTGTCATTGTCTTGTGGTTCTTTTTGTTCAAATTTGTGGCCAAAGGCCACAATCTTGTCAAAAAGAAGCACCATAATGTAAAACATGAATTTTTACCAGAATCTGGGGCCAAAGGTCATAATATTGTAGGGTATCTAAGTTTCCTTCTTTTAGGTATTAGAAATAGGTTGTGAACTAGGCATTAGCTTTACGTGGTTCTAGGTAAGGAATAGCATAAGTTGTATATTCAGATGTATTGCATTATTTTGCAAGGTTGACTTATTTGAATAGATTGTGTAGTTTAGGGACCAAAATCTCCCATTGTTTAAAGGTTAGGGATGTAGTGTGCAATTGGTTAAAGTTTAAGAACCTAAGTGTCTCATTTTGTGAAGTTCAGGACTAAAGTGTCCTATTTTTTGAAGTTTATTATGACTAGAAAATGTATGAAAGACCTGTAAAAGACCAACAACTGATATTTCTATAGTAAATCAAAATTGAATATATTGCCTGATAGCATTCGAAAAGAAAAAAGCATGTTAAGCATCAAATAAATGCATTGTAGCCATTATCATAGCAAAATGAATCTGAACAAATAGACTTGAAACTAAACAAAAATCTGGAAATTAGTCTGCACCTGTTTATTCTAACTGCACCAAAAGACATCTATGAAAACTAGTCCCTTTCAGTCTTTCCTAACTGCACAAAACGACGCCTACAGCAAGTCTATTTGACCCTATAAATTGAATTCTCTAACTTAGCATACTGGTTCCCATCTCTATGGATTTGCACATTTCCAAAGCCAGTAGAATCTGTCATGTGGCTCGCAGCGGCTGTTTGCAATGTAGACAAGTCCACATGCACCCTTCCAAGTGAAAGGTGCTGATTGAAGTCCTTTGGTCATGTACGAGCTTGCCCCTCCATTTTTTGTGTGCCTTTCATATCCTTGTTACTCCTGGAAAGGGGGAATAAAGTTTGCCACCAATATTGGAGTTCAACTGCATATATATATATATTTTTACGGAAACGATAGAAAATATATTGATTTCAAAAAACAAGCTATACAAACTTGAGCAAAGGCCCATCACGAGCTTTACAATTGTGTCGTTTGACACAGAGTACTTAGATATTCCTCATCTTGCACTAAAGTAGTAGCATACTTACTAATTCTTTTCCCTAATCTATTACATTGGTTTTCAGCCAAGCTGAATGAGCAGTTCATAAACAAAGCTTTGAGCATATGAATGTCTTCCAATTGAGCAAAAAGTCTGATGTTTTGTGTCTTGTGCGTTCGCAACATTCGGAACAACTGAGCGGATGAAACTAGCAAATTAACATCTGGCCAAGGCATTTGTTTGATTTTGCACAATGATAACTTAAGCGCAGCAGTATAATCCAGCAAAATGTCACCTATACTTTTGTCTTGCATGGCCCATGCAGCGTGCACATTATTGTCTTTTGTTGCTACTATGCCAATGCCAACAATTTTGCTTTCCTTCAGCTGGCTCACCTCCACTTCAATTGTCATCTTGTTGCTGTGTATAATGTCGCACGATCCCTCTTCATCACAAGCTGATGTTTCCTGGCTGCTCACCCGTTTCTCTTTACTTTTCATTTCAGTGTACTCTCCATTCTAGATGAGCTTTCTGTACAATGTCAAAAGGTGTCCTACACTTGTTGTTAAAGACCTTCTTATTTCTGGCTTTCCACAGTTGCCAGAGGATGTTCACAGTGAGAGCTTGGTGCCAGTGACCTTCATTTCTGCTTGTTGCTTCCATTAGTCCACTCCACCATTTGTTGAAATTGCCTCTACTGTCATCAATGCCATCCCACTGCACTGGTGCGAACCTCCATACTCCCTTTGCTGGATTGCAAAAGAAAAACAAGTGTTCTATGGTTTCCTCTCCTGCGCCACAGACAAATTGGTTCCCCCATTCTGGTTTTGTAGTATATGAGCTCGTTTACTAGTAGAGCTTGGTTCAGACATTTCCAAAGAAAGGTTTTGTGTTTACCCTTAATGTCCATTCTCCACATTTTTGTCTAATCTTTCTCCTTCTGTCCATTAAAGCTGGTTTCCCCTTGCCCTCCAGCTACTCCCCTTCCAATATTAGTAGTTTTCTCCTCCCTTTCCAACATCTTGTAGGCTGACTTCACAGTGTAGTTTCCATTGGTGCTTGCTATCTAGTAACTGCTATCTGGCCTTCCTGCCACACTTATGGGGATTTTGAGGATTTCTTCAGCATCTTTGCCATTGAAAGTACTGAAAATCAGTAGTCTATTCCACCTAAAGTTTGTTATCAATTCTTTCACTTTGGTTAGGTAGCAGCTTTGGGGTTTAGGAGTAGTAGGTGTCCCTCCTTTGTTATTTGGAATCCAACGATCTATCCAGATGTTAGTACTGCTACCATCCCCAATTTTCGCCAAATTCCTTTCCCCACTTCATCTCTAACACTGGCCATACTCTTCCAAACCCAGAAGCAGTTGGGCTCACCTTACACTGGAATAATGATCTGTCTGGAAAGTACTTCACCTTCATAAATTTACTTAGCAATAAATTTGGACATGTTACCAGTCTCCAGAGTTGCTTGCCAAGGAGAGCTCTATTAAAATTTTGCAGGTCCCTGAATCCCATTCCCCCTTTGCCTTTGTCCTTCGTCAGTTTTGACCAGGAACACCAGTGCATCTTCTTTTTTCCCTTGTCTTCTCCCCACCAGTACCTTGCCATCATAGCACTAATATCTTTACAGAGTTTGCCTAGAAGTTTGAAACAGGACATAGCGTACGTAGGCAAGGCCATTGTGATGGCCTTCAGTAGCACTTCCTTCCCTGCATTGCTGAGCATTTTGTGTTTCCAGCTTGCCATCCTTTGTTGGCAATTATTCCTTATAAAACCAAACAGCTGCTCCTTCGTCCTTGTAATGACCATAGGTAGTCCAAGATATTTACATTGGTTTACCATTTGGACATTTCCTAACTTTCTGCACACAGCAATTTTCTCCCCCTCTGATGTGTTCTTGCTGAAGAACACGGATGATTTGTCATAGTTTACCATCTGACCACAGCCTTTTTCATAAGTGGCTAGAATGTTCATGAGTTCCTCTGCTTGATCTGGGCTTGCTTTGCAAAAAACTAAAATATCATCAGCAAAGAACAAATGTGATACTGATGGGCCTCTTCTACTGATACTAATACCTGATATCAGTTTGCTTGCCCAGCTCTTCGCAGCAAGTTTGATAGACCCTCAGAACAGATTAAGAACAAATAGGGGGATAGAGGATCCCTTTGTCGTATACCTCTCTTAGGAGTGACAAAGTCTATCTGATCACCATTGAGCTTGAAAGAGTATGAGACAGTTGATAAGCATTGCCATATCCAGTTTATCCATTTCTCTGAGTAACCCATTTTCTGCATGATTGCACCTAAGAATTTCCACTCAACCTTATCATAGGCTTTTGCCATGTCAAGTTTTAAAGCCATACACCCTATTGAACCTTGTCTTTTGTTTTTCAGATAATGGAGATATTCATGGGACACAATGACATTATCTAATATTTGTCTCCCTGGAACAAAAGCTGCCTGGTTCTTGCTTATACAAAAATCTAGATTATGTTTAAGTCTGTTGGCAAACACTTTGGAAATGATTTTATACAACACATTGCAAAGGCTTATGGGTTTGTACTGTTTAAGATTGATTGGCATCTCAACTTTGGGAATCAAAGAGACAATCGTGTGATTAAGAGACTTCAGCATGAAACCTAAGTGGAAAAAACTCTGGATAGCTGGAACAACATTAGACCTGATAACCCTCCAGAATTTTTGGAAAAATAGAGGTGTCATCCCATCAGACCCAGGGGCTTTGTTTGGATTCATAAAAAAAGTGCAGACTTAATCTCAGCCTCAGTGACAGTTCTAGTTAGATTTACATTCATTTGATCAGAAATTGTGTTTGGTATTCCCCTCAAGATATCCTCAACTCCTTCAGTACCTTGACTATCAAAGAGTTGTTGGTAATGGCTAGCCACTTCCTCACCTAGTTCCTTCTCATTTGAAGTCCATGAACCATCATCTCTTTGTACATTAACCTTCCTTTTCCTTTTCATTCTACTTTTGACACTAGCATGGAAAACTATGAATTTTTGTCCCCCTCCTTCAACCAAGTAACTCTAGATTTTTGAGACCAGTACATTTCCTCATCAGAGTAAGCTCGCTTAAGTTGAGTCTTAAGGTCATCCATAGCACCTTTGTGCAACTCAGTTGACTCTCTAAGCCTCTCCATGTCTACCTTGATTCTATTAATCTCTTTCCTAGAGTTATGCTGAAAACTATTTTTCCACTTCAGAAGAGCCACCCTACAATTAGAAATCTTTTTAGTGAATTGGTACATTATTGATCCTTCCACTTCTAATTTCCAAGCTTCCGCAATCACCTGTGTAATCCCTTCATGTTGTATCCATCCTTTGTCAAAAATGAATTTTTTTCTTCTTTTGTCCTTTTCAGGTTCAGTATCAAGTATCAACCATAATCATACTATGATCTGAGCTGTAATTGTCGACATGTTTGCACCTTGTTTTGTCAAAAATATGGAACCAGGTATGAGTACAAAGCATTCTATCCAACCTCTGTTTAATTTCTCCTTCATTTTCCTAGTTATTACACCAAGTCCAAGGATTGCCATCAAAACCTACATCGATCAGCTCATTATCAGGAATGAATTGCTTAAAATCTCTAAAGGTCCACTACTCTCTTCTTCTTCCTCCCCATTTCTCTTCATTGGACACTATATCATTAAAATCTCCTGCAACTATCCACCTTTGACCCCAAAGTCTTTTCCTTTCATTCAACACGTTCCACTGATTCTTCCTAATTGCCGCATCACAACTTGCATATATACCAATCAGCCACCAGTTGGTATGATGACTGTGGTCCACTACATGAGCCTCAATGGTGAATGCTGTCTTATGTATTTCTGTAATTTTCACTTCTTGTTTCCAAAAAAAGCCATCCCCCCAGACCTATTCATAGACTCTACAATCACACTATGATTAAAATTCAGCCTTTTCCTAACAGTCTCCATATATTTGTCCCTATTCTTAGTTTCACACAAGAAAACAACACTTGGGGAAAGGAGGTTACAAGCCTCCCTCAGTTGGGGAATTGTCAAGGGGCTCCCTGCATCTTGACAATTCCACACCAGCAGTCTCATTATCCACTTGAGGACCCATTAAGGCTGGTCTCCCTCCCATCTTCAGCAATCTCTAACCGTATTTCCAAGGACTGATCCCTCTTATTCCTTTTTACATTCAAGCACTCACCTTCAACTTCTTCCATTTCAGTATCCTCATGATACGTTTTCCTCTTTCCTCTAGTCTCTATTTTCCTGACATCTCCAGCCGTTTCACCTAAAGGAGCCCTCTTTCTGTTTGAAGGCTTAAGTTGTCTTCTAATCCTAGTGTTCATCTTCTGGATAGCCACCTGTTTCCTCTCCTATATTTCATTTTCTACCTACTACATTTCTTCCATCCCTATATCCTCCTCATCCACAGGTACAACATTTGTTGCTGCACTTCTCCTCTCCCTCTCCATGCTACATTGGTCTCCTAACCTCAAATCCTGTCCTTCAGTAATGCTATTTGTCTTTATGTCTTGTACCTCAACAGGTGCTGAAACTCTCGGATTTCTGCTTGTCCCTCCTAATCTATCCTCCTGACTCATTACACTTGGAATTACTTAGGCCTCCCTTTCCTGTCCTTCTATCACCTTGGTTGGCACCTCTTTTCTCATAACCTTTTGTTCATATCCTCCTTGCGTGCCATTCTCCAACCCCTGAGGGACCTCACTTCCTTCTTTTCGCACCAATTCCCCATCCTTAAAACCCCACAGCACCTTATCTTGTCTTCCTCGATTTATGGTCTGTTCAGCCTATGGAATTCCTTTATTCCAGTTACCTCTTAGCCAGGGTCCATATTGGTTATCTGAAAGACCTCTCCCTATAGTAGAGGAAGTTTTACAATTTCTCTCTCTGTGTCCAACTATACCACACCCATAACAGAAGTCCGGGCACCGTTCATACTTGAAACTAATCTATTTCCCTACTCCGCTAAGCTTTACTATCGAGCCTCTCACCGGTGGACGGGAAATATCTACGATCACCAACATCTTCAAGTGCCTTCCTTCCTTTCCTCCTATTTGGGGTATTATAACCTCTTTCACTTCTGGAAAAATGGATCTAATTTTCCACCCAACCTCTTTCGAGATCCAATGTACAGGAAGATTCCACACCTGTATCCACAAAGGAGCCAACTTAAAAACACCATTGTCCTCCTCTATCCCATTATACCACCGTCTGAGGATCAATATTTGGCTATCTACTAACCAAGGACCTCTATTTAGAATCCTCTCTCTATCAGTAGCACTCGGAATGATAAATTGAAACAAGTTAGGTCCTAACTCCATAACATTCAACCCACGAGGATAGCCCCAAGCCAAGCTTACAAAATTTTTCACCCCCACAAAATTAATTAGCTTCTCCCCCATCACTCTTCCTACCAGACCCAGCTGGCACTCCTGAATACCCGTGTTAGCATCTCCCATTTCAAGAGCTGTACCTCCCAACTCTTGTTCAGAGAGTGCGAACCTCTGCATTATAGAAGCTAGTTCCTCTGCCATCGATGCTAAACCTCCCAGGAAAATACCAAACACAACTTTTGATTTTGAAAGCAAATCTAAGCAAAAGCTGATCCCACCAAGCAAGAGAAAAGTCTGACCTTTACTGGTCAAAAAGGACAACTAATCATAAGACTTACACACGCAGAAACTAAGACCTACAGTCACCAGAGGAAGATAACAACGAAAATGGAATAAAAGAGGAAGAGACAAAGAAAACGATCGGACAAAGTTCAGCAGGAAAATGTTAACCCTTTACCTGTCAAAGCTATGGAACGGTCGAGTGGAAAGACTCAGTTTTTGTTGCACCCATGCAGGTATGAGCTCTGTTTCGTTACCAGTATGCTCTCAATTTGTCGGCCATAAATGATGTTGGGAGTTAAGTGGTTTCGGACAAACAGTGCAGATTTGTCGTTGGCCCCTACATAATCTGATTTTGTTGGTAGCAAGGCATTTGGGAATTCAATGTCCCGGATTTGGGAGCTTTTGAAAACTTTTTGGACCTATTTGACCTTTCAAACATAAACTCCCACACCCAGGAAGAAGAAAGCACAACTCCCAATAGAGAGAAAAGAGCCTTCCAAGAGAGAGATATTCAATAACTATCAATTATACTTCAACTGCATATATCACAAGCTAAAGAATCAATGAGTCACTATAAATTGGTCATTGTCATAGACAACAAGCTACTCAAGTGCTGAAGCACTTACATGTGTAGGTGCAATTTCCTTTTCCACATTTTCATTCTTACAAGCATTAGATTTTAGTCCCACTTCTCCAATCATGTACAATTAGTTTCTCAATATCCACTGACTCATCTTTCAATTATTCTTAGAGTGGCCATATTTATGGTAGAATGAGAATTTTCTGTTTTTTTTTTGTGTTCGTTTCTTCTTGACTACCTTGTGAGTGGTTGAAAACCAGAATTTGAGGTATACTTGTACAACTCTCAGGTGTATTTACCCCAGTCACATTACCAATTAGACCACTTCCAGTTGCCTCTTTGGCACTTGGATTGTTGTCGCTACACATTTTATCCTTTGTGCTGACAGCACCAGTATCCCTCTCCATAGGTCCATTTTCTCTTTTTTCTGGTTCAACAACATGGTTATTTTTATCTGACCACATTTTTTGCACAGGCTGCAACTCATCTTAGTGCCAATCTTGCTAACCCTGTGAGGTTTAGCAAGATTGACACATGTTCTTTTGTTGCTCTCTTCTTCTAGACCATTATTCCTTATTTTTTCCTAAATTAATCTACATCAAAAGCAACAAAAAGTATTTTTCTTACCAGTTTCAGTCTTCATCTTCACTTTCTTTTGAGGGAATGCTTATGTATTATCTTTACTTTAAAAAAAGAAGAAAAAGAAAGAAAAAAGAAGGAAAAAAAAGTGAATAAATATTGTTCTACTCTAATGGTTCTTGTACTTAATAACCAAGAGTTTTCGTCTACAAATATCGACTTTTGTGAAAAACGATACTTGAATTAAGAGTATGCATAGCAATTTCGAGAATGAGAAGTATTGAGAAACTGGTGATTTTCATCTAAAAAGTGAATAAATATTGTTCTACTCTAATGGTTCTTGTACTTAATAACCAAGAGTTTTCGTCTACAAATATCGACTTTTGTGAAAAACGATACTTGAATTAAGAGTATGCATAGCAATTTCGAGAATGAGAAGTATTGAGAAACTGGTGATTTTCATCTAAAAATATCGATTTTCGCGTCAAAAGACATTTTTACAATTTGAGTAAATATTTAGATATGTTATATGAATAAATCGCTCTTTGAGTTTGAGAAAGAGGTGATCATGAGATCAGAATGCTACTATATGACCATATGAGTCACCTACTTGTGGAATTGAGTGAGGATGAGAAATTGAATTGAACTAGTTAAAAATATGGTATAATTGGTTCTCCTTTACTTGATATTATGAGTACATGAGATTAAATGAATGATTGCATAATGGTTATTTGCTTGGTTTTGAGAAATTGAGTTTCAATCATGTACATGTTTTATTTCAAAGTTTTGGATCATTGTTGGTTTATATTTCTTATTACTTGAGGACAAGCAATAATTCAAGTGTAGGGAAATTTGATAAGCGTGCACTTTGAGTGTTTTAAGTATACTTTATTATTTAGTTTTGATGTGTTTTATTCATTTTTATAGATAATTAACTAAGTTTCCAGTGAAAGTTTGCATTTTATGATCTAAGTGTGAAACATTGCATTTCGATGGATTTAAGTGGTGAAAACTTCGTATTGTTGTAGGTTTTAATGGCTCAATCATCAATGAAAATAAAATGAGAAGATATTTTTATGATTTTTGTGATTTAAAGAAGACCTGGAGTGTAAAATATTCAAAGATGAAAATGCAATCAAGTTCTAAACAAGAGAAGTTTAACAGATTTAACACCTTCTAGTATTTTGACTATAACTTGAACTACTAGTATCAGATTTAGATGATTCTTAAGTTACTTTGAAGTTAAGACATAGATCTACATTATTATGAGAACATTGAAATTCATTTCATGAGTTTTTCTGGTCAAAAAGTCAAAAAACTGTCAACCATTTTTGCTATCAAAAGTTGAAACAGGAGATTGACTAGTTAAGGATATCTTGATCATTTCTCAATATACATATCTCCAAATTAGATGATCATTGATGCATTGAAAAGCTGACTCAAAGCATTACAACTTTTATGTTTTGTTCAGCAGCTAGTTCAGCCTTTACCATTGAGAAAATATCAATTGAAATTGGTGCAAAAATAGAACAATGTTGAAGACTAATTAGGAAATTGCAAACCCATAGGGGAGACAATTCACGACCTTATACCAGCGTGTTGACCCTACGTATTCTTAAGGCAATTGTGCAACTTGCACAATCACTTGCTCTGATTTTTTATTTCACACCCCTAACCCACATATGCCAGTCATGCAACATCCGCCGTATCCTTAAGTTCTGCTCAAGAATACAAGGCAACATTGAACTAGAATAAAACTTAGGAAGTACTGAATAGAATAACTAAATATAGTGCGGTTCAAATCTCAATGGAAGGTAGTCTACAAGTATCCAATAAGTTCGTACATTTATTTTCTAGACGAAGCAATGTGAAAAGCATTAAATAAAACTAATAGCCAAAAGCAGCTAGACTGCTAATTTCTATCCACTTAGAGCTAATAAAAATCATCCTAAGGGTCTTCAATGCAAACCAACTCATACTCTCTAAAATCTGCAAAAGTGGTAAAATTGGGTTGAGCGATAAATCGCTCAATAGGTAGCATTTACCCTTCTATTAGACCATGCAACCATAGCTTACATATATATACATATGTATCAAATTAGTTGCACACAATTTACATGCATAATTATTGAAAATACATTGTTCGTAAGACAGCCAATAATAATGAGTGACATAGCAACTTGTAAACATTCTGTACATAACTGTACATGAAAGCCATATAGTCATAAATCATTTCATAACCGTACATCAGCTCATAATAAGTACATGCAATGATCGGTTTCTGAGCACTCAATCTAGAAATTAAACCCCTTCTTGGTGGGCGACTAATAGATTTCATGACTACCAATTGGTCTCATTACATATATAGGTCAATCGGTCGGGTTTTATATTGAATTACCATGACAGTCAATCGGTTGGACTCTATACTGAACTACCATGATTGTCAATCGGCTAGATTCTATACCGAACTACCTTGACCTTGTCAATCGGCCGGACTCTATGCCAGGTTATTATGACCATTAGATAGGATTACAATCCCTACCGCCTATTCCATGACTATTTTGAGTTTTACTCGACATAAATTTATTTCACACATTACATACATAGTTCCTTGATTTCACAAAAGATACCACCCATTTCGTGCATAATAATATATCAAAATACTTCAAATAATTCACATGGTCCATCTTTATATAGCAAAAATAGAACTTGTAGAACTCTTCAAGTAATCATTTAATTAAGTAAATTCCAAATTGACATATCAGAATGCAATAAAAATTTCACTTTGAACTTTTGAAATCACAGAGGAATAAGTACCACATACGATTGACTGACTGATGGGTGAAATGGACTTTGGATATTTAGACTTGTTTTGTACCTATATCAAGTGCATGGGCATTCTAATCAACTGATATTCCAAGTAACCTTTGGATTCATGTCTAGATCTTCTACGTAAAATTTTGAAAACTTTCCTAAATTGGAATTTTTTAGATTTGGAAAGTTTGCTTATTTGGAAAGTTCCTTTTTCTTTGAGTAGATTTCCCAATTTAGAGAATTTTCAGTATATATGAGCTTCTCTAAAGTAATTATTCATGGCCTTGTCTTTACTTACAACTAATTATCGTTATTTTATTTTTGTCAATCGTCACTATTTTGATGCTTAATTAATTAGTCATTTATTCTATTTTATTCCCATAATTAATTAATTAATTTTAATTTAATTAATTAATTATTAATTTAATCAATTAATTATTTTAATTTTTATCCTAATGATTAATTAATTAGTTGTCATCATTAGTACTACTTTAGTAATTAACTTCTTAGTTTAATTAGTTAATTATTATTTTCGAGTTATAGTATTTAATTAATTAATTATTAAATCAATTAATCAATAATTTCTATTTATTTTAATGATTAGTTGATCATTGAATTAATTAATTTCTTTTATTTTAATTAATTAGTTTATTTATTATTCTTATTACGTTAATTGATTACTTCTTTGTTATGATCACTTAAACTTATATTTGATGTTCCTTTATTTACTTAATACCATTTAATTAATAAGATTTGGGTCTTTATTAAGTGTTTTTGGTTTTTTGGTTTTATAATTATTTGACCAACCTTAGTTGTCCAAAACAAATTTATGTTGAGCTTATTGTTTAATAACATGTATACCTCACATTATTAATCTAGACTTTATTCATGGGTTTATTTAATTAAAGACTATTGGGCCTACCAATTATTTCTAGTTTAATATGAT